TTTAAAAAAACTTCATGTGACACGAATTTCGAATTTATTTTCACATATAGAAAAGCAGCCTCAGGGAAATGTCACACGACTATTAGTACTTATTATTATTACTAAAATCCTACCAAAAAATCCGTTGTCCGTTGAAACGCGATTTAAATCGTTGAAATGAGAATTTTTTAATTAATATTAATATAGTGCAGGACATCTATAACGGTCAATGATTATCACATGACTTTAAAAGCCTATAACTCCTTATTAAAAAAGAAAAAGAAAAAATTGAACCGATAGAATTAAAGACGTAAACTTCATTTCTTTCGGTTTATTTTTTCATTATATTAGAAAAGTGGCTTCAAAGTTAGACCATTATATATATATATATATATACATTTTCTTTTTTCAACTAAAAGGCAATTTTAATTATTGATCATTTATTTATGATATTGAAAACGAATAAATTACAACCATTCCATTATTATTTCATTAAAATAATACCTTTATTTGGACATAAAAGTTGATCAGTGTATTAATTTGCTAACTTGCTTCAGAGTATATACAAAAAAGTTACTATGATCGATATTTCTTCCTATTGATATGATTTATTATACATTTGTAAGCCTAAAACAGATATATATAAAAATGATTAATTAACTAACTTGTTAACTTTGGCCTTTATCGAATAACTGTGACTTGTGTACTAAGTAAAAAGGTTCCCACGCCAAAATGCACACGTGTACATGTAATTTCAACTCTGATTTAAGACTATTGAAGGTGCCAAAAGAAATTTAATGATGCTGAATCTATATTAATTAACTTTCTGAAAAGAGAAATGAGGATCCCTTTTTTTTTGTATGTCATTATGCATTGTGGCGGAACAATTTTATTACAATAATAAAAAGGGAATTATTATTATTATTATTATTATTATTATTATCAGATATAAATTAACTCACAAATTTCCTCACATCCAAATTAACTTTTAAAAAAAATGGGTATTAAAATTATCGGATTTGGTAAATCACCCATTACTCTTAGAGTAATTCTTACCCTTCAAGAGTTAGGTCTAGAACATGAATTTGAAGAAGCTGTTTACAATGAAATGAAATCACCTGAATTTCTTACCACAAAAAATCCATTGTAAATAATCTTTATTATTATTAAATTTTCTCGTGTTAATGTTTTCTTCAAAAATAAATTAACTATTATCATTTATCATGGTTACATTTAATGGGGAAAAGTCCCAGTAATGATTGATGACGGTTTTACACTTTACAAATCGCGTGCAATCTGCTGTTATCTTGTAAACAAATACCAAGGAACCAAGAATTCTACAATTTTGATTCCAAAAGATATACAAAAGGCCGCTTTGGTTGAACAATACTTATCGGTCAAAAATTTATATTTTGAAATACCATCAACAACTATTAATTTTGAAGAAATTGTTGCTGTAAAATATATGGGTAAAGAAGCTAATGCCGAAAAGGTCAAAGAAGCAAAAGAAAAACTTGAACAGACATTGGATGTCTATGAAAAATTTCTCGAGGGAAAAGATTATTTGACTGGTGAATATTCTTTAGCCAATATTATCCATGTGCCTAATCTCTTTGCTAATATTCATAAAACTAGTGCTAAATATATATATTATGATGCTAAAAGACCCAATGTTATTAAATGTGTGGAAAATCTTCTTGAAACACCTACTTGGAAACAAATAACAGCAAATCTTAATTCCGACTAATATATTTTTCTTTAATATAGAATCTAATTGATATTAAAATTAACATTTTTATTGCAAAAAATAAATATCAAGTTGTTTCGCTAATTCGACCAAATTTGATCAGTCAATCACTTAAAATTCATTGCATTTTTTTAAATTTTTTTTTTAAAAAAAATTTATTATCACTACCACTGCTTTCTTCTTCACCAATTTCTATTCTAATTGTTTCGCCATCATCATCACTTTTATCATTTTCGGTTCCCACATTTCCATCACCATCAATTGTAATATCCATATTATCATTGTTGGTATTTTTGTACATTTTAATTTGTAATTTAAAACATATTCAGGTTTCTCTTTTTATCGTATGTAAAGGAAAAGTGGTCCAAGTCCTTTTAAAAGCAAGCTGGTGAAATAGGAGCCGAAATATCAATCTACCCAATTTTTGATTTTTATCAATAATAATAAATTGGTAAAAATTAAAAATTCTTTTTCCATGATTTGAAAAAAAATCTTGCTTTTTTTTTCATACTTGACATTGTCATACATGTCATCATATATAAGAACATGAATATCAAAAGGTGCTAAACCATAATAGCAGGTATATCAGTAGTTAGAACAGGCTTATCACATGGTTGTTACATGGTTATCAAAAAAACCTATGCTAACAGCAAAGTATATATTTGATTCATTTTATTATTAAGCATGCCCTTCAACAATAATGCAAAATAGCAAACAAACACAGTTGTAATATAATGTAGTTGAAAGGAAGCCAATTCTTTTAAAAAAATTCTAGACAAATTATTAAGTAGGATATCAAGAATTTTGAAAATACTGACTTATGGTGCTTGTCTATCAAACTTAGACCTCTAAGCATTTTAAAAAAATAAAACAAGCACAAAAACAATATTTAAGGTTTTTTTTTTCATTGTTTTTTGAAATAGCATTCCATGTGCAATTTAATACAATAAATAAATATCCCAATTGGAAAATGGCAATGCTATGCTCAAAAAAAAAAGAGAAGACGTTCCCATTGCCATTCTTTTCTCCGGGGGCTGTAGCATTCAAAATTTAACTATTTGCAATAAAATTCTGGTACAAGATAAATAGTTCAGTACTATCAGAAATGAGAGACTTGCAACATCAAATTAAAAAAAAAAAAAATGTTTCTCTCTAATATGCAGTGTATAACAAAAAAAAATGGAATTGAAAAATTAGGGGGAAAGCCTCAGTAATGATTGATGATGTGTTATCTCGTAAACAAATATCAAGGAACCAAGAATTCTATAGTACACCCATCAAATAAAAATTGACCAACTTTAAAACCTAAAAAGAAAATATTGCTTATCAAAAAATTATTGAGATGATATTTGATAGCTTTTGACTAGTTCTGCAATCTATTGTCAAGACAATTAAAACATAATTATTGGTTCAGGAGTTATAAGCTTTTGAAAATCATGTAATTTTATAAAATTTTCCAAATTTGAAAATGTAATTAAAAAAAAGAACAAAAAATTTCATGTGTTTTTTTTTTAAGTCAATAAATCTTGATAATAATAATTGCATTGGGTTTATGAATATAAAATAATCCCATTCAAATTTTTTTGTTTAAAGTTTCTCCTGAAGGACCTTTGATCTGTTGTGCTAGACATATCTTGGCAACCTGAGATGATTTTAAAGACCAAAAACCCTTACTTGAAGAAAGAGGACATAAAGTCATCTTATATCCAAAATTTCACTGTGAGCTTAACTACATTGAAATGTATTTGGGGGCTTCCAAATAATATGTTAGACATTATTATAATTACACATGGAAAGGTCTTCAAGAGAATGCAATGCTTTTGATTCTATATCATTGAAACAAGATTAGAAAGTATGTGGTGAAAGCCTCAAGATTTATGTATTGTTACAGAAAAGGATTAACAGTACTACAGGCTGAATATATTGTAAAAAAATATAAGTCACATAGAAGGATTCCAGACAATGTGATAGATGAAATAGATGAATTGGGGCAGACCAGACAAAGTGAACATTGGTGTTACCAAAAATTTCAGGGTTCACTTCATTTCTAATTCATAACTTTCTAATTATTCAATAACTTCCATACAAAATAATTGAAGTGATCAATCCAAGAATATAAGGTCACACACATACTTGGGTTCACTTTTATTGTAACCGATTTTGGTTTAGTTTGGTTTGTCAAATTTGGCTTCCCTGATTTTTGAGTTTTGACTATATTAATGTATATATATAATATATCATTTTGGTTTTTTTGTTAATTCTTGAATAATTTTCTTTAGCTTATGTTTTTGTCCTTTGATTTTATACTGAAATTCTTGAATAATTTCTTGCTGCTCATAGTTTTTTTCTTTCACCTTGACTTAAATGATTGTCTATTTTTTATTTTGTTCATTTATGTCATATTATATATATATATATTTGTTACTTTTTGCTACTTTGTATAAGAGTTTTTGACCAAGTTGAAAATTCATGCAATAATTGAATTGGTTCAAACAATAACAAATAATAATAATAAATGACATTAAAAACATAACAATCCTTTTTATTACCCATTGAAAGCTGTTGCAAAATTCAACCAAATTAAACACTATTTTTTCATTATAATATTTTTTTACAAGTGGTTTCACTTCGTAAATAAATTTATTTCTAGGGGAAATAAATTTCCTTTATTTTCGCCTGTAAATATACACATCTTTAAACTTCCTAGGGGATGCCTTAGTGAAGATAACTATACAGATCCAAAAATATATAGAAAAGCTAGCGATGTTTTTGTTTGGGCTGTTGCCCAAAGCTTTATGTAAATCATAGAAGCAGACTTTATAGGCTAAAGATGTATAAAAGTCTTCAAGTTTTAAAGTCGGTAGGAGGCTGGTTTCTAGTGTAAACCATAAGATTTGATCATCTGTAAAAGAAAGTTATAACTCAAGTTGGCTGGTTTCATTAGAAAACTCTAATATTTGATTCAACCACCACTGTGCGCTAATTTAGCCTTGGATTGTATTTTAGTTATATGAGATACATCAGGAAAACTAATGTTGAGTATTATATGTATAATCATCATATAAATCACATATAATGGTCTATATGCAATTTATTCATATTTTTTTTAATATATTAAGCATATGTTATTTTATACAATGATTATATGTATAATATTTACTTATAATACTAGTATTAGATTTATACAAATATTTTATGTATTTTTCTAAGCAAATTATACATAGGAAAATTACACAACATATTCCATGCAAAATATCATGGAGATTATTTGTATAAAATGATTCTGCATGTGTTTGATGCAGAATATATGTATATTACAATATATGCAATTTATTCATGTATTGTTGTGTTTATTATACTTATGGTGATCTATATGTATAATATATGTAAGTATATGTAGAATATATTATATTGATTCTTGAGCATATATTCTTGGCTGTTTGACATGCAGCATATACACATATTATACATATAGTTCTTGTAAGTTTTTACTTTCAATTGGCATCATTAACAGTTAACAAGGATGGGTAAAGTATACCCTATGCAAATGTGGGTGATCTGTGTATAACAGTTTTTTTTCCCTGTTAATTTAGATCACTAATAGATTTTTTTTTGTATTATTTTTTTTGAATAAAAAATTTAAAAAGCTTCTTTAAATCATATGCCAAATCTATTATTATTATTATTATTATTATTATTATTTTAGGTGAGTTTATTTATTTTTTATTTTGCACAATCAGATCATGTTATGAGAGAAAAAGTATATAAGTCACTGCTGTTCCTGGTTGGGGAGGAGTTTAAAATTAATATTTCAAATTTCAAATTTTGCAAATTATTTAAAAAGCTACAATTGCACCATCCATTATATTAAAAAGTCACATATTGTTGTTGTGAAGGTTTTAATGTTGATAATTTAGAATAAATTGATGTTCTTGGACTCATTCAAAAGCCAAAGTTCTAACATTCATAATACTCAAAATCACATGTTGTTATAAAGATAAATCATCCATCAATAATTTAAAAGTAGATGTCTAAATTATGAAATTTTTATAATTAGTTATTCAATAACAATTGATTTAATCTCCACCCAAATTCAATTGATTAAAATAAAAACTTCTGTAGTTTTACCTTCTTAACCTACATATTAATATCATGTTTACATATGATTGATCTATAAAAAATTACCTTTGATTTTTTTAAAATCTTTTGTACCCAATTGAATCCAAAAATTCAAAAATTTGCAATTTTATCAATTCTTGAGACAAGTTGATGATCTTAGACTCATTCGAAAGCTAAAGCTCCATAATTCATTATACCAAAAAAATCATTATTGTTGTTATGTAGGCTTTAAAGATCGTAGACAATTTAAAATATCAACAATCTACACCTAAATTACTCACATAATCAATTAATCATTATCATTTGTTTTAATCTTCATCAAAATTCAATTGATTGAAATAAACTTTGTAACCTTACCTCCTTAATCTATATATTATGCTTATACATGATTATCATTCATTGATCTAAAAAAAATTATCTTTGATACTTTTAAACCTTTCTAACTGATCTGAATCCAAAAATTTGAAAATTTGCAATTTTACCAATTCTTAGAATAAGTTGACGATCTTAGATTCATTCGAAAGCTAAACTTCCATCATTCACCACACTAAAAAATCATATATTATTACCATGTCTATTTTAAGATCGCCAAAAATTTAAAACATCAATAATCTATGTTTAAATTATTCATATAATCAATTAATCATTATTATTTGATTTATCTTAACCAAAATTCAATAAAAATTTTTGTGGCCTCACCTTCATAACCTACATGTTATGCTTATAGATGATTGCTGTTCATTGGTGTATAAAAAATAAGTTTGGATTTTTTTTAAATCTATTTGTACTCAAAATTTGAAAATTTGAAAATTTGCAATTCTGCCAATTCTTGGAATAAGTTGACGATCTTAGATTCATTTGAAAGCTAATCTTCCATCATT